CAGGTTGACATGTCGGCTTCTTGTGCAGATACATCCGGATGATGAGTCCCTAATAGGACGAAATGCGCATCCTGGATTCCACTGCTAGTCACCATCCACCAATTAAGTTGTACGCTTTGTTGTGATATGCCTATCAAACTTGACTTGGCTTTAAGATGACTTTTTCCAAATACTTATCGGCAGTTACCATTGATGATACAGAGTTTACCAAGCTGAGAGTGAGAACGTATGCAGCTGTATAAAAGTGACTGACAATCTAAAGTGTCAATGAATTCGTAATCGTCTTTAACTAGATCCCTCACGTAGTGGTCAGTGTATAGTGTTAAATGTAACAATTATGTAAAGCGTTAGTGAATTCCAATGGTTTGTTTGGTCGGTGAGATGTTTCCTTGTGCATTGAAGTTTCTGTAGCAGTTTGATTGGTTTTCTGGGGTAGGGTGGCTAGCCCTACGCCCAACCCTCCTTCTTTTCCCGGGCTTGGGACTGGCTAGGAAACTAGCGAGCCAGTAGACTAGGCTTTAATCAATAACTGCCACATTCGCTGAGTCCATACTGAAGATCAAATGGCCGATCGGTCGGCCAGAAAGAATTAGCAGTAAGAAACCCTGGGAACAAACCAACAGGCAAGAGCCTATTACTCAACACATATGCAGGAGAAAATGGAGATGGATTGGACATATGTTGAGGAGGTCGTGGAATAACATCCCTCTCAGTGTAGAGCATCGTTGGAGTAGAATCCAAATAGGAAGCGACAAGTGGGTCGTCATTGGGGACATGAGAGATTATGGGTAATCGTTGCGCTATTGAAGCCCTATGTTCCACTTGGAACTGAAGGGAATACTAATGATATAATTAATCTGTGAGAAAGAAACTTTCGACCCATCAATTAAGGATTTTCCATGGGTGGGGAAGGGAATAAAGAGAAAACTGATGTCTCGTGAAACACTTAAACCTGCATTTCTTATTATTTACCACTAGATAAACGCAGGATAAGAGAAAAATATGCTCGATATGTTGTTTTTTTTCTTCGTATAATTAATAAATGCTTTCATGCATACTTTTTTACGCATACTTGTTTGTAATCTGTTGCATTAAAGTTCATCTCATCACCCCCCCTCCGGTTCCGCCCACTTATCATACGACATTTTTAGAAAATAAAAGTATAAAATTTTATTCGAAATAATAAAAATCTGGGCGGAGAAAGGCGACAGGGGTGACAGTAATTTAATTCATTAATGAACAAAAGAAAACACAGAATATCTTATCTAATCTTATCCTATCCCATTGGTTTTAATGCAGGGGGAATGCGGGGGGGGACGAGGGGGGGAGAAAGCGACCGAGTTTTTCTGCTTATTCCCCCTAAATTTTCTAAATAATTTTCACTCTAATAACTTAAATCGTCATTGAATTATTATTACTGTGTATTTGCATATATGATGAAATTTCGCATATAACGAAAGTCTAACTGTGCTGTAAAACTTGATAGGATAGATTTCTACTGAAGAAAAAATATTGATAGAATACTATGGGTGCGTGTATGTGTATGTCTGTCTGTCTGTATGTGCACATGTTTTTATGTATGTTTAATAAAGTGATTGATTATCAAATCGATTAACTTTTTTTTGTTTCTTGAGGAAGAGTTGATAGTTGGGCGGCGTGGTTGGAGGGGGAGGGGATAAGAGGAAAGAGGAGATAACCGTGGGTGGCGTTCAGTAGTAAATTCAAGTTTTTATGGCTTTTTTGTCTTTTTTCTTCTATTTTTCCCTTTGAATGGTAAAAACAAACAATCCTTCAGAAATTCTGTAATCAGTTCTTTATCTTCGAACTAGAGACCAATAAAACATTTTAAATTAAGAAAATATGAAGTGGTTTTTTCCTCAAAAGTTGATTTGTAGGGACTGGATTTCTTTTTCAAGTTTGCCCACGGATTGATAACAGTTTGAGAAGCATAGAAAACCAGCCACAGGAATTACTGGACAGCCTAGTTTGAGACTCGCCGCCAAGCTTTGAACCCAGGACCTTCCAGTTACAAGGCGAGCTTGTATACCATTCGGCCACTAGGACCCGAATCAATCACCAGCCCATATATTCTAACTTCTACCACTCCGTGATTTTAGCGTAACCACTACCACTCAGTGTCATCGGCGAGTATTTCTCCCCAATCATGACAGGATGGCAGTTTTGTATTACTCAAAGTATTTAGTATAGGAATGAATATCTGTGTTATGCGGTTCCCTCTTTGTTAGACTTTCAGTATTATTATTCTTTAAGTTAACTGGTTCCTACTTCACATAATTTAGAGAGAATGGCTGGAAACAGTAGAATATCGGATAATTTGTATGCTCACACTGCTCAAAAGTTTCATACTGGAATAAGATGCCTCTTCGACGCTCTCTGATTTTTAACTTCTTTCTGTTTGTTATTCAAACTACACTCTAATTCAGAGATTTAAATACTTCACTTTCTGTTGGTTGATCATCAACACTGTGACCTCTTCTACACGCTTCAGAATTCTTTTCACATCAGACAGGTTTAATAGGTCTAACATAAAACATGATGTACATTGCTTCGTACATAAAGTTGAACACAGTTGCTCAGGTCATATCTTATTTAATTTCATTCTTTAACACCTAATTCTTCAAGTTTTTCTATGTTATCAGCATGAAAACTACTCAGTTAGACTAGAAATTGAATATAATTAGCCTTATTCATTTATAACTTGCGATGTTTCATTGACATTTCTGGATCGAATCGATCAGCTTTGAATGGTATCTGTATTTTACCATGATTCCTCCTTTATCCACAAGAGATGGTCCTCCTGAGTAAAGAAAGTTTTGGAAGTTGGAGTGATGAATGCTGAGTTTTAGTTTTATTGGGAAAACTATCATTCATCGGGGAATGGATTCAATCAAATGGTGATTTCCAAATAGGACAAATCGAGCATGAATTAACTTGGTGATAATTAAGCAAAAAAGGGGCGTAAACCGACCAATGACACTGGAAAAAGATACAGATCTGAAAAGAAAATTCATTCCTCGAAACCTAACCTTAACCTACCTCGAACTAAACCTAACATCTCCTTAATTGATCTTAATCTAACCATAACCTGTCCTTAATCCAAATCTAACCTAAATCTTACCAGACATCCCGTTGAATATCATGACACTTTATTAAGCATATTTTCACATGAATATAGTGTGATTTGCTTGGTCTCATTAACTTGCTGACTGAGTGTTTTAAGGTCATTGGTGGTTTCGCGTGTCTTCAGAGCCTAAAGTTTAACCTTTCCAATGATTGTCTCTAAGCCATCAGTCATTTCTAAGCGTTTCTGACTGCAGTGATCACTAGGTGACGTGGGTTCGAATCTTCTCAGAAGGGATAGGAGTTCCTTCAAGGTTGCAGATACGCCTTGCTGACTGACTGGTGAGTGCCAACCAGCAGGGCTTCATGCCGATTGCTTCTAGCCATCTAATATCACTAATTCAAAGTGCACCGCGGCACGGTGGCCACATTGCTAGCGTGATTGATAGAATTCAGTCTGCACCAAAGATAGGACTTGATACACTGAACTGGTTACTAAATAGTGTCCAATCAAAGTAGAATATAATATGCTTAGATGGAAAGTGTGAAAAGTTTAAACAGAGATAGAGCAGAGAAAGAGAGAGAGAGAGAAAAGCCACTTTACTCCTTGAATGCAATTCTATTCCTTCTGTCTGAAGAAAAGAAGCCCATATCATTAGATAAACGTGTTATTTTATAACATATATATCCACTGAACTGAATAATCTAAGCATACAAATTGAATTTAAATCACTTGTTATGTATCTGTCTTATGTGATTAATTGATATAAGTATTTATAACGTGTAATATGTAAATTATTTATAAGGATAGTTTAAAAATTACTCATAATGATCAGTAATCATCGCTAGTTAACCGGAGTGTTTTAAACACTTTTCGTTTCCTGAAGCATTCAATATTTTATCAGCATAAGTAGATTCTCATCCTACTCAGACAGATGAATCGACTCAAAATACTCCCCTTGATCTATGGTAGGATTATACATATATATATATATATATATAGCTTAATTGCAAAACTTTTTACAAGTCACATGTCTGTGGACAAATTATAAGGCTGAATAGTGTTCAAATGAAGTAAGTGTGCTGCACTAGTACTACTACTAGTCTGTTCACTGTTTCATTAAAATTACTGTATACATCACAATTTCCTTGTTTTCAATGAAGTTTTACAGTTGGATGACATAGAGATTATTTCATGCTTAATGTGGAATAAAGCTATTTCAAAGAGATATTTGCTTTGTTTATTTAATTATATTTGTAATGAATAGCTCTGCGTTCAAGTTCTTGGCGTTCATAGAAAATGTAGGCGAGTTTGCCTTTATATCTTGCCTTTTTAAATAGGAAATAACTCAATCTACCCTCTAAATTTTCATCAGTACGGCTAACAGACAAGTCATAACTGATTGCCTCATTTATTCATTCATCATCTCTATGTAAAGACAAACGAAAACGGCAGTAATTCAACCATTATTGAATCATCTTCAAGAAATTCTCACTTATCAAGTGTCGGTTTTGTAAAGATTTTGTTTGTTTGATTGGTTGGAGGATTTCATCATGAACTGACATCGGTTAGAGAACCATTGGAAAACCAGCTACAGGGAGTACTGCCAGACAGCTGTTTCGTCCTAGCTTGGTGAGTGCGTACTAATGAGGAATCCCAAACTAGGCTGACGAAACAGCTGTCCGGTACTCCACGAAGGTCTTCCACTGTTTCTATAACTGATGTCACCTCATGATGAATCGATTGTGTTTAGAGTTACCCAGCTGGTGATATACTACTGAATTACAAGGATGTTTGTGGCTTTTTTGTAACAAACAATTCACGTGATCAAAAATAAAGGAATTTTAAATAAAATTAAAATTTATGCTCATAACTGATCTTATGTAATGTTGCATGCTTTGTTTTCAGAATAAATGAGAATGAAAAATCCAGAAGGTATTTCATCATCTATATTTAAACAAGAACCAACTGACGACAATTCAAGTCTACAACCACCTTCATCAATTTCATCTGTTAACCAATCTTGTCATAATCGACTTATTGATAATAATAATAATAATATTTATTTGAATGACCAACATTTTAATTTGACCGCCTATCCATACTCAAACGCCGTTACCATAGATACAATTAATAAAACAAATTCAATATTATCAATAACAGATGAAAAATTGATACCAACATCACAGACAATGATAACAAATAATAATAATTTAATAACTAAGAAATTTCAAAATCCATTTATTAACTTTAATTTAACTAATCAATTTAGTTATCCACTTTCTTCTCTTCCACTATCACCTTCCTCGTCTTCTCATCAAACTAGTGATAGTATACAGTATGTTAATACTTCATTACAAGATGTGAATTATTCAACTTCAGCGGCAAGTGTGCTAATACCATCATCAATATTTGATGCTTCTCAGTTACCAACAACTATCGCAGCATCCACTTCAACTATGAATAGTAATTTAAATACAAATACAACTAGTTCATTACATAATCAAAGGGCAAGTATATCTCGTAATAGTTTAAAAAGTAGTCTTTTAAACTCTGTAACGCGAACATCACAGTCATCAGTGTCTTCATCTCCTTTAACATGTTATCATACTTCAAAAACATCATCAACACTGACAACATCAACACATAATCGATTATTAGGCAATCAACAGTGTGGAATATCATCACGTTCAAATGTACAAAATGATCATTCTCGTCCTTTTAATCCTCCTCCGCCACCGTCTCAACCTCAGAATCAATCAGCACCTACATCGTCTTCACATCATCATCCTCATCATCATCGCCATCATCATCATCATCTTCATCATTATCGAAATACATCAATATGTTCAAGAGCATCATATATGTGTCGAAAGTGTAAAACACATGGGCATAATATCCCTGTGAAACGACATAAGCGTACATGTCCATATACAAATTGTACATGTATTAAATGTCATCTTGTTGATCAAGGAAGAAAAGTTAGTCAGTTACTTAGTTAGTTAATAACAAATGAATAATATATAATTTTTATTTTAAATAGTAATAAAAAGAACCAATACTTGAAAATTAATCTGATGCTACCTAGCGACTGCTAGCCCTATTCAGGAAGTTAACCTAGGATTCTAGTGGGAAGCCGTAACCAGTAGGGTACAGAAGTTTAAAGATGAAGCAGTAACTCATCGAAGAAGACATTGCGAAATGGTTGCGATATGTCGTGAATTGGCAGAAGTTAAAATTCATGAACTGGCCGTTGGATCGGGCGGGTCCCAGTGAGTGGCTTAATGGTCTACAACCTACCTAGTTCGCCTTGTAACCAGAAGGTCGTGGGTTCGAACCCTAGCCTAGCCACATGTCTTATACGGTCAGCCAATTTTCCTTACATTGATGATATAGGATTATATATTCATCCCTTCGTCTACTGTGCGTCAGCGGCACAGCGATTAGTCCGCTCGCCGACCACGCTCATGGTCCGGAGTTCGATCCCCGGCCGACGCATACCTGATATCAAATGTCGGCCTACTAAATTTAGGCTACTGATATCACATGCTGAATATTTCATAGCTGTAGCAAAATACTGTGTGGAATCAAGCTACAATAAAAGTAAATAGATTTACTCATCCATTTGAAACTGGACTTCAAGAGAATGATAACGGCGACTAGGCTATTGCAAGTATTTAAACATAGATGATGAGTTTTATGCAGGCTATTTTATTGTTTCCCAAAGCATAGAAAAGTTTTGAATCCTTTATAAGTTATTATATAAATAAGTTGAATTCATTTGAAATGTTGTGAAGATGTTGAATTTCGATGTACCTGTATTCTAATGGGTCCGTGTGTCTCTATGTGTGTGTGTGTGAGTGAGCAAACGATCAAATGACGGCATTCAAACAAACTCGAACTTAGCACCTATTACTTATAATGCTACATACTTAACCCTCTAGGGGCATTCAGTTGACCAGAGCTTGGAATGAAGGACAGAACCAGTAGTTAATCTATGTCATAAACTGAAAGTATAATTAAGTAGAAATTTCAATTGACTAACTAAAATCTACAGCATGTTACTGATTAGTGTCTATTTTTCAATATACTTCCATATCGTGTCGGTCAGTTATGAAGGTGACCTTATAAACTAAACTGTTACAAGTTTCAGAGGGCATAAAAGTTAGAGAAGTCTACTACTGTTTAACGATAAATCAACATATTACGTATTAATACGATTTCATTCTGGTAGGTGCTAATTTATGGGGAAAATACCAAATTAATCGGCAGGTATTTCAGTGGTAGAATAATCGCCAGCAATACTCGTGATCCGAGTTCCATTCCCGATCTATGCAGCTCTAAACCTCGCTTAGCCGGAAGTAATCCCAACAGAGACAAAAGGTTGATAGTGAGACTATCCACTCCACTCTTTAAAAAAAGCACCACTAGTACTGACAACTGGAAGCTCAATCTTGAAAAAGAAACTATGCATTTATTCATAATGCAATCTACAGTGAAATTAAGTAGCCAAGGGGATAACGTTTTTCAGTTTACTAAGATACATACAAGGACTGGGTCTTAGTGGGAACAGTATCACTCACTACGGCATGCAGGTTTATCTACCCGATGACTAGTAGTTAGGACTGAACACGCATCATAAATTCCCCTTCTAGCCATCACCACATACAATAAATCTCGGCCTTCGTGTCGCTTATTACCCCGAGGAAATTGTCTTCAAGGTGTAAACTACACAGAATAAAATTCAAAGAAATCATGTTTTGCCTTTCTAAATACATTGGAATATCATCAAATCTATGTGCACCATGATAACAAGCTACCTTGAATGGTGGTCACACTGCGAATAGGACTGATAGAATTCATTCTACACCAAAGACAGGATTAGACACACCATACTAGTTACTAACTGGCATCCAATCAAAGTATCCAATACAATCCAATAGGAGGTCAGTCTCAAGCCCGAATAGCTTAGTGGCAACATCTCTGGCTGCAGCGATTACTGAGTGGCGTGGGTTCGAATCTCCTCAGAAGAGACATCAGTTCCTTCGAAGGCTGCAAATATGCCTTCCTGACTAGTGAGTGCCAACTAGCACGAAACATAGGTTTAAGCAGGACTACCTGCCGATTGCTTCTAGCCATCTAATATCACTAATTCAAAGTGCAGCGTGATGGTGAGTCACGTAGTGTCACACTGGTCAAATTGCAAACTTGACCGGGGAAATTCAATCTGCACCAAAACGGCAGTCGATACATTCCACTAGTGTCCGATCAAAGTACACTGGAATTATTTTAAATACTGTTCTAATAACTCAGTCAAATTTTTCACGGCGATCTGAAATATCTATAATCTAAGTGCTAATGTCATCTTTGTTACCTCTGTTTTTTTCATTTAGGTTGTTGCTAGACAGATAGCATTATATCGTGATCAGAAGGGCAATTCACATCGTGATATACACGATCAATTAGACGGTAATCGCGTACAACCAACTAACAACGGAAGCTGGCGATCGTCTTCAATTTCGTCGCTCTCATCAACCACAACCACCATCTCCACAACAACAACAACAACGACAACATCGGCAAATATAAATCTAGAAATCAATAAAACTGATGAAATAAAAATCAATAAAAATTTAAACAATAACCGAAGTAATAATAGTAATAATCATTTATCTAATCATAGTGGAATACATACTACTATCAATGATAGTAATACTAAAACGAATTCAGTCTTACTACCATTATCCCATTCGAGTTCATTAAGATCAGTGGTTGCATTAATAGATGAGAAACAGACAATTACCAGTGGTCCACATTGTCGAAGATGTCGTAATCATTCAATAGCTGTTACATGGAAAGGTCATAAAAAAACTTGTCCATTTCGAAATTGTCCATGTGATCCATGTCGATTAATTAATGTAAGAAAAGATACAGAGAAGACGCTTAGAGAAATGGTAAGAATAATTACTTCTTCTTTTTTTTAATGCTTTGAATTTTCATGTTAAAATTAAAAGATGGCGTCGGATAGAGTGGTGGGTAACTGGTAAATTCTTATTTATTTATCTATACAGGGTCGAATTCCAGACTGTTTGGTATCACTGACGATGGTACTGTCATTATCAATAATGTTTGTATTCCCTATTGTCAACTATTGTTGGTTGGTGACTGTTTCTGAAATAAAATGCTATTCACTTCTCAATGGAATGAAAATCCAACCGGTGTCCTACAACGCTATTCTACGCGGCCCAACTGAAATCACTTGGGCAATCACAGCCAGCTGTTATGCAGACGGATGATATACAACTGTCCACTTGCCACTATTCATTATTATGCTCAACTAGGTCTTTACGTGTCAGTCTTAATCATAAAACAGAAAGAAGCAGGTTGTTTAAGATAGTTTGTTGGCATCCATTTGATCAATGATAGTCTACCAACCCAAGACTGTCTCAGTCAGTTTCAGAATTATCTATTAATGTGCGTAACTGTCTTTGGGAAAGGAAGTTGTCATATCTTATAAGTAGTACTAATAATTCACATAAATTGAATACATATAGGATATAAAAGATAATCTATATGCTACCCTAATCGTGCGTCGGTGGCACAGCGGTTAGGACGCTGGCTGACCATGTATATGGTCCGGGGTTTGATCCCTGCCGATGCACTCCTGCACCTCTCGAAGCCAGAAATAAAAAGCTGGTAAAGACGAAAGGTTGGGCATGAGGCTAGCAACCCCATCCTATAAAAATAAACACTGCTACAGAAACTTCAGGCCTCTAGCTTGAAGCCCTATATTCCACTGGGAACGTGAAGGAATAAAAAATATATGAAAATGAACTATAGTCAATGGAAAATTCCTTTTGACTTTAAACTGTTTCGCCCATTCAGGCCTCTTCAGTCTCACGAATTGAACTGAAATAAGTAATGAGACTTAAATCTAGTAGTCATAGTTTCAAATGCCAGGGAGTTACCGATTCTCATATCGGTTGACTAGTAGCAGTATAGTAACACGCTATATCACCTGCTTCCTTCATCGTCATTTGTGGTGTCAACCTGAGTACAAACTGTGATTTGAATAATTTCATTTCCCGAAAAAAAACTGTATTGATTTTGCACCTAAAACTGCATAATTCGCAAAATGACGAATTTCGATTCAATATAATTACACTGATGAGCGAAGCGTCTGTCCGGCGTTTACACCACTTCGACCTGGCTTGCAAACAAGGATTACTATTTCGATGTGAGTAGCTTCCAAATACGCATACTGGTCAATCAGTCGTATATAATTTCATGCTCGTAAATTTTCAGCAGTATTTTTCCATCGAGTCATCAAGTATGAGTTAAAATTGAAATCTGGGGCCATTAAACATTAGTATTATTAAAATTAATTACTATTTTTATTATTATTTTCAGGTCTTGGTTTGTAAGGATTTTATTTGATAGATTGGAGGATGTCATCATGAGCTGAGATCGGTTAAAGAACCATTGGGAAACCAGCTACAGGGAGTACTGGACAGCTGTTTCGTCAACCTACTTTGGGACTCCGCTTCAGCAGTACGCGTCCACCCCATCCCTAAGGTTCGAACCCACGACCTTCTGGTTACAAGGTGAGCTAGTTAGCTCGTAGACGATTGGGCCACTGGAACCTTACCCCATGACTAGCTCATGCATTCTAACTTCTGCAAATCACGACATAGCGCGACCACTTCACAATGTCTTCAATTAGTAACTGGCCCCACTTTTGAACTTATTATTATATGAAATAAATTCTTTCCGTGAAGAAAGAAAGATAGAAGGATGGGCAGTGTATTTAAACCTTTCAGATAACACTAATCTTTTTTTCTCTCTTATCCTATCTCTTATTCTAGGTAAGTCATAGTGAAATGAAACCTTTTACAGGTAGTTTTAAAGAAAATCGTAACAGCTTTCCAACATATACACCAAGATTAGCAACACAGACAAACTCGGTTGTCTCAGAGCCAAATAATCATCGATTTGACTATTTACCCAAATCAATTCATTCAAACTATACAAATGGAAATCAACCGGTGGAACAACATTTTATTCCTTGTACACAGGAAAGTGTCCCGTTGAGACCACCAAATTCGTCAACATGTTTAACACAACTCTTACATAATAATAATAATGTTAATAATGTGCCGATAAATCCATCGCATTGCCAGTTCAATCAGAAAACTAATTCACGACCGAATTCTATCGATTCAATCCATTCTCAGAATAGTTCAGATATTCATTCCAATAGTAATAATAATAATAATTCTATTACACTTCCCAATTCATCTAATCTTTGTAATGTCAATCATCTTAAAGGACACTTAAAATCTACAAGTCAGTTAAAAGCATCAAATCTTTCTCCATATCGTGAATTAACCCACCTTTCATCAACTGACTGGTGGATTCAGCCAACGAACTTGTTGACAACATCAACTCAATCATTGTCAAGTTCTAGTATTACCTTTTTACCAACAAATTTAACACTACCAGTGAATACATTACAAAATCAAAATCATCTAAGCGATGATTGCATGCAGGTGGATAGAATCAGCTTAGAGAATATGAATCATAAAATCAATAATAGTAATAATACTGATAGTAACACTGTTGAATATGGTTCTACAATAATGACGACGGCGATGGCGACCTCGACAACACCGACAACGAGAGCAGGAACAGGAGCAACAACAACAACAGATGTCTCGCAATTAGGCTCAGTTGAAGATTACTACGACAATCAATAATGAAAAATGATTTAGTCACTGGCAATAATTCTGATTTCATTTGCAATGATATTAATAATAGCAATAACAATAAAAATTATTACTATGATAATATAGACTACATTAGTTGTATTGGTGACTATCGAAATCTACCAACATATACACCGAAAATAAATCGATGTCAGGGAAACAATCCTATGGGGATGATGATGATGATGACAAATCAGAATACAAGTAGTAATACCATTCCGGCTGCAACATCGACTACTACTCTTAATGGTAATAACAGTAAAATAATAATAATAATAGATTTGCTTCATGTTTTAACTCTCAACTGCCGAGTGAAACAGCTTTTTATTGTCCTGAAAGAGTATCAGCTGTTGCAGCTGCTGCAGCGGCGGCCGCTGCTATGGTTGCCATGACACCAGGTATCAGTAATTCCCCAAGACATTGCTCTCATCATCATTACCACCATCATCATTGTTATGCACATACACATTGTCATATTAATCAAAACTGTCGAGGAGATGTACCACCGCCACAGCCGCCACCAGCACCGCCACAAAGACATGAAGAAGACAACCTAGACGGTGAAGATGATGGCGAAGGAATGGAAGAGGATTATGATGATGATGAAGATGAAGATATTGATGATGGTAATGAATTAGGCGACGAAGATCCTAAAAGATACTATCATCACTATCATCATTTGATTGGTCAACCAGTCTCACCTCAACACCACCACCATCAACAACAACAAAATCATAAATCTTATGATATAACAGATGCTCCAGGATCTTATACTAATTTAGAACAGAATAAGACGGTTAGAGGATATTTCCCTTTTGATAATATTCATACTGGTCAAGATGAAAGTCGTCTACCTCTGGGGAATAAAACAGGCATAATAGGCGGAGATACATTGGCATACATTGATGATTACCATGATCCATCAATCGAGTACTATTCAAGATTGAATAGATCTCCAAAAGATTGGAAAACAAACAGAGGAGAAACTGATCATATTAGATCATCTCAACAATCTCAACTATCCACATTGGTACAGTATACAGGAAATAATAGTAAAAAGTATGATATACGTCTTACTGGAACACTTCCATCAGTTTCATCATCAGCCATGAGTGCAGTATCCTCAGTGCCATTTTCTCACTTGACTGTAGAAAATTTTCGTGATTCCAATTTAACGACAATTTCATTATCCACATCATCTGATTGTATGCCTGACAGCGTACAAACAAATTTAACTAATTCTTTATCATTCCTACCTACAAATATTAGTTTGGATTATTTAAATCCAATCTGGAGAAATCAATCTGCTCACAAAATGAATCAATCACTTTCCGATATACCTATACAAATCGATAATAATGATAATGATAATAATAATAATAATAATAATAATGGGGATGACAGAGATAGCACCAGTAAACAAATCCACTCTAGGCTTTTAATAAATCAAATTCAAAATTCAAAATTTGAATTTTCAAAACAAATTACTACTCAATCTGATAATGGTGTTATTACTGTTGTCAACGTTGGTGATGGTGATGGTGATGAGGAGGAGGATGACGACGGTGATGGTGATGGTGATGAAAATCGATCAATATGGTCTTTAAATGCAATACAACAACAAGGCGAGTGCAATAATAATACCGAAATAATACCGATTAATCAATCAAATTTTTTAACAATGAATAGTATGAATTTTGAGTCGGCGAGTGGAGTAAGAGATTCAAGTTTATTAATGACAGGATGATATAAAATATTACTGTTTTTATGTAAGTTAAAACTTTTTGCATTACTTGTTGTTAGTGCAAAGTTTTGTTGCTGGATTAGTTGGAGGATTTCATCATGCAATTGACATCAGTTAAATAGCCAGGGAGTACTGTCAGACAGCTGTTTCGTAACCTACTTTGGGACTCCGCTTCAGCAGTACGCACCCATCCCACCGACAGGGTTCGAATCCAGGACCTTCCGGTTACAAGGCGAGATAGCTAGCTTGTTGGCAATTAAGCCACTGGAACCTGACCCCATGACCAGTTCATAAATTCTAAGCTCTGCCAATTCATGACATGATGAAATCCTTCAACCAATCAAAACAAAAACCCTACTAATCCAATACTTGAAAATTTTGTTACTTGAATTGTAAATAATGACTGAATTTCTGTTAAAAGGGTGTTTAACTATATTAGAATCTATGCAAATTAGTCATTCATTTAGTTGATGGTTCTAAGCTGGACTGAAGCAATTGTGCAATAATTCGGTAAATGATATTATTTCGGGGGGGGGAACAAACTTGGAGATAATCGAATCTTAGAAAACCCAAAACTGGAATATTTATCTACCATCTCACTAACTTAGTCACAAACTTCAAGATAATCTACTTAAAATTCTAATGCTCAGTGATAATTTGTGAGATTAATCGACTTTTGTCAGGACTCATAAGAATTTGTGTTGGACAACGCAACCTCAAACCAGTGTCATAGATGAGTATTTTTCCTCACACACCGAATTTGGTGGACTTTGGAGGTCACGACTTCCTACTGAAACTTCAGACAAGTTCATCCTGTCGTCAATCACTAGTCATCAGTATCTTAATTTCACATATCCCAAGTTGGCAGAAGTTATAATTCACGGTCCATAGAATTCCATCTGCACTAAAGATAAACACATTACACTACTTACTAACTAGTGTCCAATCAAAAATATCAAATACAGCTCTATAGGAGGTCAGTCGCGAGCCTGGATAGCTCAGTGGCTGTTAATGTCTCTGACTGCAGCGCTCACTGGGTGACGCGGGTTCGAATCTCTTCATATGGGACATGAGTTCCTTCAAGGTTACAGATACGCCTTGCTGACTGACTGGTGAGTGCACGAAACCAAGGTCCAAGTAGGGCTTCCTGCCGATTGCCTCTAGCCATCTAATATCACTAATTCAAAGTGAACCCTGGTGGCGAGCACTTAGAATGGTGGCCGCATTGCAAAGTTGACTGGTGAAATTCAGTCTGCACCAAAGACAGGACTACACACATTACACTAGTTAGTGACCAGTGTCCAACAAAGAATCCTATCTCATTGACCTCGCGAGTTAAACTTTATGGCTTCAATCTTCGATGGGGTGATGGCCACATACTACTATTAAGTGCCTTAAACTAAGAGAAAACAGCTATCCAGTACTCCTGGTTTGTTTTCAGCATTCTCTAACTGAAGTCAGTTCCTTACTAAACTTGAAATCAATCCAATTCCTGCAAAGCACTACTTGAAAACTTATAGTAATGGTGACGGCGTTGTATCACCAATGTGACAAAAGTTAAAAATTATAGACTAATGGATTCTAAATCAGTGACTAAATAGTGATATTATTATTCCTTTAGGTTCTGAGTGGAACATAGGGTTTCAACAACACGTCTCCACTTTCTTCTATTTTCTGCTGTCCTCTTCAGCTGGCTAGCTCCACGACTGACAAGAATCTCTTGTCTCCACCTCACCAAATGATCTTCTCAGTGTCACCCTCACACTGACGACCCACTTGTCGCTTCCCATTAGGATTACACTTGAGCAATGGTCTGGTGCACGATGCCATCTCCTTTTTCTTCTGAATATTTATTGAGCTATCGGCTCTTGATGATAAGTTACTCGCCAGAGTTCCTTATTGCTAATCCTTTCTTCCTGGTTGTGATGCACAGTGTAAGTTTCTGACCCAGATAGAGGAATTGATTGACTTAACACTGGTGTTGAAAGTACGAATCTTGTTCTTTATGCTGGCTGAGTGACAGCAGATTTCCAAAATGATTTCATGTTGATGAAGACTTATCTTGACTTTCCGATTCTAGATGATTGGCTTTCATATCTTCATTAGTCCCACCCGTCTGTGGTTGAAACGATACTCCCTAGAAAAGTGAAGAAAGTAAGTAACCTCTGTCAAATCTTTCTCGTTGATGGTGATTGGTGGTGGTTGGTTATGTTTGTCACTTCCATCTTCTGTATGTTCACCTGGAGTCCTATCTTCGCTGCCACACTCTTGAACCAATTTGTTGTTTTTTTGCCTGTAAGTCTTCGAGTCTATGTGCCATTAGACACAAATCATCCACCGAGTGAAATCCAGATCTTCTTGAGGTTTCTTATCGTTAATAAACTGCGTGAAAACACCTAGTAAGATCATGGGTGCAGACTCCTGAAGAAGAAGAATGCTAAAGTAGAACGAAATAGTTGTGTAATATCTCTTTGTGTTGAACAGTACTCTAAACAACACTATCACGTGACAGAATTTCCACACAAACACAAAATTTTGTCTGTGTTAGAGAAGTTTCAGATCAGCTAATCGAATGAATTAGCATCAGAAAAGAACGAAATCTACGTGTAGAATTTCTTCTTTCCAACTATATTTTATTTAGTTAGTAGTCTGTTTTCTTAGTGACTTCATCATAAACTTCTTCATAGATTAAGTTCCTTTAATGAGTGTTAAGAACTAAACGGTATTATTTATCTTGATTTAGAATGACCATTCAAAATACAGTGAATACAGTTCATTACATTTAACTCATTATTGATTTATTAGTATCTAACCTCTTCAGTATAACCAAATAGAGATTACATATGCATAATAAAACGTGATTCTTCCACTCCAGAACACAAATAAATACACAGACACGTAAAGAGATGCATGCATATACAAATGACAATCGTTCATGTGTTTTATGAAGCATAAAATAACACCACTCATCCCTTCATAATCTCTTTGTTTTGTTTTGTCTTCTTCAAGAAGTCATTCTACTACACGGCATGAATGTCAACGGAACCAGTTAGTTAGTTAGTTAGTTAATCGGTGGTATTTGTTGTTCTTCTTATTTCATTTTCTCGTAGGTGTTATAAATCCAATCAACTATTTCTCCCCAACTTTTCATGGTTGTCCATCTTGTACGCCAAGAATATGTAACAATATGAGACTAATATAAGACTCAACAATACACGGAAAAGGGGATTAAATATAAAAAAGTATATAGGTGTGTTGCTAACCCACATTATTATCAACACTAAAATTCACAATGAAGGGATTTATATCGATTTAATATTTTGTAGTGTTTCCCCCACCCAACCCTTTTGAATCCAGTTGCTGACCCCGTTCTGATTGAGTTAATTTTCTATTCACAAGTACACTTTACAGGATTTCATCATGAGCTGACATCGTTTAGAGACTATTCGGAAACTAGTTGGGAGTACTGGACAGCTGTTTTGTCAGCCTAGTCTGGGACTCTAGTTCACCAGTACGCACCCACGACCTTCCGTTTACAAAGTGGACTCGTAGATCAGTAAGCCACTGGGATCCAATCCAGTGGCCAGTCTATGAATTCCAACTTCTATCGATTCCCGATATATATATTTAACGCAACCACCAGCCAATGTCACGGGCGAGTAACCGTCCTCTTGTCAGTTGGACCCCACCTACCCACTGGTTACGAATTCTCACTAGAATCCCAGATATTTCCTGTATAGGGCCAGCCACTAGTAAGCTTCAGGTTGATTGCCAAGTATATGTTTAATGAAGCCTGAATTTATACTGATGAACTTTTCCATGAAAACACAGACAGCAAAAAATTGTCTCATTCATATGAATGAAATATATAGTCAGTGTCTTGTCATATGTCTAATTCTTAGTGTTGGTGCTAAGTGAATTCTATCAGTATGATCACTATTCGAGGTGTGTTATAAATAGATGTTAGCTGATTTTAAGCAGGTGACAGGATGCTCATTGTCAGCACTATGCTAAGATCTACGCATATGATATTGGTTACTCAGATTGTAACAGTGGAAGGCAAGCCAAGGTATATTTTCAATTGATCAAACCCCTATTTATATCTATACAGTTCATATTCTTTAACCAATTACTGAGCGTGTGATTTCGCTTTACATCAAGCCACATGAAATAGATGTTCAGACACATATAGTATTCTGATGCTAATGCAGTGTGCGTCGGTGGCATAGTGGTTAGGGCGCTCGCCGACCATGCACATGGTCAGGGATTCGATCTCCGGCCGGCGCACCCCTTTACCTCACTCAGCCAGAAGTAAAGCTGGTGAGGAGGAAAAACTGCGCATGAGGCTAGCAATCCTATCCTGTAAAATTAAACACTGCTACAGAAACTTCAAGCCTTTAGCTTGAAGCCCTATTTTCCACTGGGAACGTGAAGGGAAAAAATCCAGTGTTGAACTGCGGGATATGTGAAATTAATATCCGTTGGAACACACTGTCAGTATCACACCACCACAACATCAGTGATTAACCAATGTATTCAACACAACTGGAAAAGAAGGTTACAGTGGTAACATCTCTAACTGCAGCACTGAATGATTCGGATTCAAATCTCTGAGGAAGAATATCATTCCCTTTAGGGTTGTAGAGGTAGATTTGAGATAGATATAATTTAGATCTAGTCGAATAATGATTTTGAACTGCGAGAACACAATAACTCACGATGAAATTCCATGCATAAATAAGCTTTCAAGTTCAAATCCTATAATTAATCACAGATTCGCAGATTAATGTCTAATACTTTACCAATTCTGACAGTCTATAGTGTAACACAGTCGTAATAGTGTACCACTAATGGATAACAGTTTATACTTGCGAATTCTTCGATGACATTCTTAAACTGAAGTGAAACATTTCTTCAGTGCTGATTGGATAGATCTCTGAAGTCCTTCAAATTTTGCCATCTCATAATGTAAGCGACTGATGAATGGTATATTTTTCGACTATCTAGTATTGTCATTATTATCCTGATGAATCATTACCACAATAACAATCTACATTCTCCCTAATTATTTTGATTTCTTTTTTCAAATCTATAGGAAACTGACATTCTAACAATTACAAGCCAATCTTGCCAACAGTCAGTCCTAAAAGAGAAAAGAAGGGGAAGACTGCGACTGAAAAATCACATTCCCTATTTGATACAATAAATCAAGTCAATCTATCCTTATCTGATACATTCCAATTATACTCTGTTTATTATAATAATTTATATTATGTAAAGTAATCTAAAGTGAAGTTATATATATATCCATGGCGACATTGTGACCCTCCCTCCTCATAATTGGTGAGTTGATTCTTTTCTCTGTCTCTCTCTCTCTGTCATCATCATTATTTCATCTCATCTTCAAGTATTTCAAAATGTCCACTTATTTCTTAGGGAATTTCATTCTCTTCTCTACAAAAGCTGTTTCCCTCTCCACCCCTCCCCTGTTTCTTTTTTGCTCCTATCTAATTGTCATTCGTGAAATATTTGATGTATCTTACTTATGGACTAACTTCTAGTCCCGGTAATAAAATTGTTTTCTTTCATTGTTCACAATTACTTTTTCTTCGCTGTTTGCGTTTTTAACTGTTCAATGTTCAATTCTTCAATATTCAATTGTTCAGTGTTCACTTGTACAATGTTCAATTATCAAGGATATATATATATATTCGCATTACAAATAAAAGAAGAAAGAGGAAGAGAGACAGCAGGAGGATCCTTCAGAGATACAAATAATATTTAAGCATATGTACAAGTACAATTATATATATACATACATTTATTCTTCATTTTTATATAATATGGTCATGATATGTATTTACAGGTTAAAAATGATTGTAATCTGTAGATGTGAAACTTTTTCCTTCAGATTTTTTTTCAATAATTATAAATAAACATATAAGAAATTTTCTTCTCGTGTGAATTGTTTTTTCTTATTGTTCAACCAACTGTGGTGATAAACCCAGCACTTGACGTCTATTCTTGAAATAGGCGTGAACAGAAGGGGGTGAAAAATAATCCTTTTATCATGTCTTGGTTTGTAGGGATTTGATTGGTTACGGGATTGACCACCAGCTGATATCAGTTAAAGAACCATTCGAAAACCTGGGAGTACTAGGCGACTGTTTCGTCAGCCTAGTTTGGGACTCTTCATCAGTACTCTCACTGGGGTTCTAGTGAGAAGTCATAACCAGCGGATGGGGGGGGCATCCACCAAGTCAGGCAAAAGGACATTTACTAGCCCGTGAAATTGGCTGGTAGTTACGCTAAATATATATCGGGAATCCATAAAAGTTGGAATTCATGGCTGATCACTGAGTTAGGTCGCAGTGGCTTAATGGTCTAAGAGCTCTCCTCTTAACCAGAAGGCCGTGGGTTCGAACAGTGTTGGTAAGTGCGTACTGCTGGAGACTCCCAAACTAGGTTGACAGGATGGTTGTCCAGTGCTACTAGGTGGTCTTCAACGGATCTCTAACTGATATTAATCCGTTTTCAAACTCGAGAAAACCATCTAGCCAAGTCATACTTCATGATTTATGACAAAATTATTATTACTAGGAACTGATGAAATATATTACTAATGGAAAATAATTGGTCGTATACAGAAACTAGAAGTCACAAGGAACAGAAATCAAAGCACACATAAACACATATTCGCTGACACAAGTTGGTGAGATCAGATTGCACAACATGTCAAAGAATATTACACCATCATGTAACCTATCTCAGAGGCATACAAATATATTAAAATCATATACTGACTGATTGATTTCTCGAGAGAGTAATCATTCTCCTATTATTTGGACGGTAGGGCTGACTGAATGCTTATCATATAAGTCAAGTTTTCAGTGTGTGATTACTAAGCAAGCAGGCTGGTTATCGTCAGACATTTCGAATTTTTATTAGATGGTTTGAGATTAATAACAGACAGTTATGGGTTTTGAAACTAAGCCTAATAAAGACATAATTAACATAAATTTCTTTCCCACTTATGAATTTGAATAAAGCAAGAACAACAGTTTTTTACAGAATAAAATGGTATCATCATTTTTTTTCGTTGGCTTCTCACCATCTGCTTACAACCTAAAGAAATTATTAAGTGGTTTATGTACAAAATTTTTTTTACCATACTTGCAAATTTTACATGATCACCTCTGTCTTCTCTATGTTCACCTGCATTCTTGTTTTCGCTGCCTCTTCTGGCAATTTGTTGGTTTACGTTTGCAAGTCTTCGAGTTTGTATGACATTAGACATATATCATCTGAGAAATCCAGATCTTCTGAAATCTCCTTATTCCTGTTTTCTCACTCCCTATAGTCTGACGCATAATCCAGTCCACCACAATTAAGAATATCATCGGTGATAATAGGCGGTCTTGTCTTGCTCCTGTATGCACTTCGAACGCCTCACTGAGTTTTCCGTTGTGGATCACCTGACACGTGAGGCTATCATATAGCTGTTGAATGAGGTTGACAAAGACTTGGCCACTGTATGCCGTAGTGTTGAAGTAGTTTCCAAATTACATCGCCGTCAACGCTGCATTGTCGAAGGCCTTTTCGGAGTCGATGAAGGAAGTTGAGATAGAGGTTAAACTGCCATTCTCTACTTTGTTCTGTGATGACGATGCGTAGAGTTTGAATTGTACATGATTTGTCTTTCCTGAATCCAGCATGTTCTGGGATGGGGGTGGAGTTCTGTATCCAGTGCATCCTTTGTTATCTCCAGGATGATACAGCTTAGTATTTTACTTGGCGTGGACAACAGTATTGTTCCCGCTAGGTCTAGCACAGGTTCAAGTCACACTTCTTTCGCAGCTTAAAGAGGTAGCCTCTCTTTCAATCAGTAGGCACCTTTCCTTCCTTCCAAGCTTTTTGCAATAATAGCATCAGCGCATCTGCTGCAGTCACTGGGTCCGTTTTCAATGTTTCGAGGGGAATTCCCTCTGATTCTACCGCCTGCATCTAAATATCACTTGTAAATCTTGTCGGTAGCGAACGCCACACGCACACACACACACACACACACACACACGTACACAGGGAGATCAACTTTTCGTGTTACTCAGCGTCTTGGTCACTATTTAGTGAATATTTTGTAAAATCCAGTGGTCTAGTGTTTCACTCCTAGAGTGTCCTTATTGAAGAGTACTTCTGCATTAGGATGGAACAGTAATTCAGTGCTTTCTTGTTTTCTACAGTTTTTCAGCTCATTTCAATACACTACGAAATATGCCTTTAAACAGAATATATATGTAAGTAAATCGATGCAATCGAGTAAGTATAGAGTTATGCCCACCTTAATTAACTACGTGTGAGAACATTCTATTCTGCTGACCTCGTATTCACATATTTGTAACAGAAATGGTTACAAATGAAACCAGTTTATTATTATTGTTATTATCATTATTCACTTGTTTATCAGAGACGAGCTCAAAAACATTTCAACTCAATGTTGTTGTCGATTTGTGAAAAAAACAAACATTTCAACACTATTCATCAATAAGGGGTAGAAAACTTGAATAATTATTTATTTTATTTTTTGTTATCTTGTATTGAATACAAAACATTTTTTTGAAAACTGTTTACTTTAAGTATTTTAGTCAGAAAGCAGGAGACCGTGCGGAATGACTAAGTCCATATGGTACACACTATTCGCTGCGTTTTTATGTATCGCTTATCAAACTTTTATGAGTCACATCTTCTCAAAAATTATATTTCGAATAATAAGTTGTTATAATCTATGACACTGTTAAACACTGAATTCCCCCCCCCCCGACGTTCCCAGTGGAACATAGGGCTTCAAGTTAGTGGCTTGAAGTTTCTGTAGCAGTGTTTAATTTTACAGGATGGGGTTGCTAGCCTCATGCCCAACCTTTCCTCTTCACCAGGATTATTTCTGGCTTAGCGAGGTAAAGGAGTCCGTCGGCCGAGGATCGAACCCCGGACCATGTGCATGGTCGGCAAGCGTCCTAACCGCTGTCCCACCGACGCACTTAAACACTGAATAATTTATTTATATTTTGAAAAATACAAAAGCACCTCAAGAGTGTCATCATGTAAAACTGTACAGTCCTAAGTTTTCTCAGGTACAGAACACGTACTCTAAAGTAAAATTCATTAACCAAATGTAATTGTTGCATACCTGGGAATCAATTTGTGGTCTAAACTGAAACTATTAGAGTCCTACAAATCAGTTCATGAAAATTAATCTGATCCTCACTAGTGACTGACTACTGGACGAAGTTGTCCGCAATTCTGGTGAAAAGTTGTGACAAGTAAGGATGGAGTTCCCACCAATGACATTGGCTGGTGGTCGTGCTAAAATCACGAATTGTTAGAAGTTAGAATTCATGGTCCGGCTGTTGAGTTGGGTCTCAATGGCTGAATGGTATACGAGCTAGCTCACCTTGTAACCGGAAGGTCCCGGGTTCGAACCCTGGTGTTGGATACGTACTGTCAATGAGTCCCAAACTAGACGTAGGAGACAGCTGTCCACTACTCCAGTGTTGGTTTTCAATAGTTCTCTAACTGATGTCAATCCATGGTCTAACCTGAAACAAATAGAATATTTCCAAAAAAAATGGAGTTGAAATTCCATCTGCAATAGAACAAAATACATTTCTCACAGACAATCTAAGAGTAAGCGGTCACCCAGACAAATAACATTACTGTCAACACTACGGCATCGCACAATAGTAAAATGAAATATTAAAGGTGATAATCTACTCAAGCAAAGACATATAAGTCAAAATAAGACGAGTAGTGATATGCCATAATCCTGAATACCACATCTGAGCATGAGCTTCTAGAATAGCGGTACAAACAAAGCATATCTGATGCAATAGACCATATGTACTGGGAAAAAATCATGAATTTGTCAAATCAGTTATCATCCTTCACTTACCTCAGATAATGTAATTTCTGGTAATCTTTGGTTTTCGAATGGTTATATAAGTGATGTCAGCTTGTGGTCAAACATGCAACCAATCAAATCCCTGCAAAACCAACACTTGAAAGTTAATCTGATGCTCACTAGCTCACTGAGTTACCTGGAGTTCTAGTGAGTAGTCGTCACCAGCAGGGTTTACCAAGTCAAGTAAGAAAACAGTTACTTGCTTATGACACTGATTGGTGGTTGCTCTGCATACTTTATGGAAGTAGAAAATCGTGAGCCACTGGGTCCGATCCCAGTGGTTGGATCGTCTACGAACTCTCTTTGTAACCAGGAGATGCTGCTTTCGAACTCCGGTTAGTGAGTACTGCTAAAGACTTCTAAACTGTAACGAAATAGCTGTCTACTGGTACTCCTTGGTTTTCCAGTGGTTTTCTAACTGTTAATGCAGTTTGTGATCAAACCTCTAACAACTCATGAAAAGGTTATCAGAAGTTTAACTTTTAGACCTGTAGACCAGTATGTACTCTGAAGTAATCCAAAAAACTTTTCCAGTTCACTATTTAATGTCAGAAATCAAAGAAATAGATTACATATGTTATTAGGTGGCTATAGCAATAAACTCTGCGTTATAATAAGTGTTGTTGCTAGGATAATCCATAAATGCATTCAGTGAAGACAAGCGTGTAGCCCAAATAATCTGATTGGATAATTTTTGTATTCGCTGAACCAATCAAATTTAAGTAGTGAATTAATTTAGTTGTATATTAGCTAAATTTACGTCACATAACATATTGAGAAAGTTGATATTAGATGGTTGAAAGCAATCAGCAGGAAGCCTCAGATCTAGGTCACATACTAGTTGGCACTCATTAGTCACCAAAGCGTACCTGCAACCTTGGAAGAACTCATGTCCCTTCTGAGATTCAAACCTGCGTCACCCAGTGAAGGCTGCAGCCAGAGACGCTACCACTGAGCTGTTCAGGCTCAAATTGATCTCCTTTAGGACTTTATTGGATACTTTGAC